TTCTCCCATCAGGTTTACATTCTTGAAAGTTCTATGGGGCACTTCTACTCTTTTCTTTAAGGTCAGCATGAGTCAGAGCCAACTAGACGGCAGCAGATCCTGACAGATGACAAAGCAACTGCATTCACTCTCCCATAGGGGACGCTCAAGACTATTCCTTCCAGCCATTCTCTGGCCATGACATCCGGGCTTGGCTGTTAAGTTGAACTGTAGTAATACTATTTGACGTTGCTCATTTAAAAGTTGCGGGAACTCAAGTCCATGCTGAGGTTGGAGGCAGAGCTGGAAGTCAGGGTTGTTGTTTGTTGTTATGTGCCGTCGAGTCACTTGCGACTCATAGCGACCCTACGTACAACAGCCCTAAACTCTGCTCTGTCCTGTGCCAATTGCACTGTCTCTGATACACCCATCCCGATTACCCCAGTCACTGCATCAATTCACCTCATAGGGGGCCTTTCCCTTCTGCACTGTCCCTCCACCCTCCCAAGCATGAAGTCCCTCTCCAAGGACCTGTCCCTCCTTGCAACATGTCCAAAGTATGTTAGACGCAGCCTTAGAATCCTTGCCTCCAAGGAGCAGCCCGATTTGACCCTTTCCAGGATGAATCTGTTTGTTTTCCTAGCAGTCCATGGTACCCTCAATACTCTTCTCCAGCACCACAGCTCAAAGGTGTCAATTCTCCTTCTATCCTCCTTAGTCATTGTCCAACTCTCTGATGCATAACAAGTGATAGTCAGGGTACCCGAATTAAATCTATATTGCTCCTTTTCTATTGTCATGATTGATGGTATTGTTGTATACTATACAGTCAGAATCAACTCATAGCTGACCCTCCTGTGGGTTTTCAGAGGCAGTTAATTGCACTGGAGGAGATTGCCCATCCTTCTCCTGTGCAGCCGCTGGTGGCCTTTGGAACTGAAGTGCAGCTTCTTGCCACTAGGCCACCAGAGCCATCAAGTCAAGTATGACTCATAGTGACACTGAGAACCTGTGAACCTGAACCTTGCCTTACCAGAAAGTAAATTTCAGTACAGTAAATACTTTATTGGGGACCTCTGGTGGCCTAGTGGTGAGAAGCTGTGCTTGCAATCCCAAAGGCACACAGTTTGAATCTACCAACTGTTCTGCAGGAGACGGATGGGCATCTCCTTCTGTGTGATTCACTGTCTCTGAAAACCCACTGGAGGGTCAGCTATGGGTTGGTCTGACTTGATGGCACGGAACAACACACACTTTACTATGTCCATCACCACAATGGTGCCTGGCATATAGATGGCACTTGATAAATAGCTGATGACTGAATTTATGATCTGGGGCATCACACTTAACTGCAGGCCTGTCTGTCTGGTTCACCTCAAAGAGTTGCCTTAAGGCAGACCCTAGAAATGAGAGTTTCGGTAGTACTAGGAGTTACAGGCCTCCAATTCTGGGACAAACCCTATTTGTTCCAGGGTCTTTGCAATTACTTGCTATGCATCAGAGAGCTGGGCAATGACTAAGGAAGACAGAAGAAGAATCAATGTCTTTGAGCTGTGGTGCTGGAGAAGAGTCTTGAACCACCAGGAGAACAAACAGGTCTGTCTTGGAGAGGGTGAAACCAAGTTTCTCCTTGGAGGCTAGGATTCTGAAGCTCCGTCTCACATACTTCGTGCATATGGGCATGAGATATCAGTCCTTGGAGAAGAACAACAGGCCTGGAAGGGTGGAGGGACAGCGCAGGAGAGGAAGACACCGGATGAGATGGATTGACACAGTAACTGGGGCAATGGGGGCAGGTGTGTCAGAGTCAGTGAGACTGGCTCAGAACAGGGCAGGCTTCAGAGCTGTTGTACATAGACCACTATGAGTCATAGGTAACTCGACAGTACCTAACAACATAAACTTGCCCTCATTTTGAAATGACTGAGCCAACTACTTACAACAAATTCTTCATCACCATTATCTTCACTTGCTGCACATGCAATTTTAAGATCAATGAAAAGGCTTCAAGCCCTTTCCTGCAGTCAAGAAACACTAAGAATGCTATTGCTGTTAGGGGATGTCTCGTTGGCCGAGCCTTACAACCCAATGCAACCTTGCCTGGTCCTCTGCCCTCCTCACAATCTTAGCTGGTGCAGCCACTGGATGACTCTATCTCATTGAGGGAGTCTTTCTTTTTCAATGACCCTCTACAAATATGATGTCTTTCTCCAGGGACTGGCTCCACTTAATAGCATGCCCTAAGTATAAGAAAGTCTCACCATTTTTGCTTCGAAGGAGAATCGTGGTTGCATTTCTTCCAAGACAAACCTATTCTTTTGGCAGTCTTTGCATTAAAAAAATTAATAATTCCAACACTACAATTCAGGAGCATCAATTCTTTGGTCTTTCTCATTCTTCGTCCAGCACACAAAGCAATGGGATATAGCAGGGCTTAGGCAAGGTACACCTTAGTCTTTAAAGTGACATTCTCTAGGATTTTACAAAGGCCCTTGACAACAAACTTGTCCAACGTAAAACTGAGTGATTTCTTGACGTCTGCTTTGATGTGCACTGATTAGAGATCTAAATAAAATGATATGCTTGACAATGTCAGTCTTTTCTCCATTTATCATGATGCTGTTTACTGGTCCAGTTGTGAGGATTTTTATTTTATGTTGAGGCGTAATCCATACTGAAGGCTACTTTTAAAAAAATTCTTTTTAAAATTATTAATTTCAATGAAAATTTACAGAGACTTTGGATTTCCATTCATTCACTGCTGAAATTTTCTCCCCTCCCAAACCTTTGCCCCCCCGCCCCCCACCCAGTACACTACCCTCTTGGAAAAGTAAAAGAAAAAGTCTTTCATTGTTTTACAATCCCTCCCCCCAGATCCATTCCACTATGCAGCCGTTGCTCTCCCTCATTTGCTTCAATGCAATATACAATATTGAACGCATCTTTCTCAGTCTCCCCCAAACCCCGAGGTCAGTCCTGTTTTACAACAGTGGCACCATGCAGTATTTGTTCTTCTGTGACTGAGATACTTCACTCAGCGTAATGTCCTCCAGGGTCACCCATTTTGAATAATATTGCGTGAGTTCCTTGTTTTTCAATGCTGCATAGTACTCCATTGTATGAATATACCACAGCTTCTCTATCCATTTGTTTGTTTATGGGCACTTAAGTTGTTTCCAACTCCTTGCTATTGTGAACAAAGACGCGATAAACATGGGTGTGCATATATCTGCTTGGGTGGCAGTTATAGTCTCTTTGGGGTCTATTCCCAGTAGTGGAATTGCTGGGTCAAATGGTATCTCTATTTGCAACTTTTTGAAAAAGCACCATACCGCCTTCCACAGTGGTTGTACCATTTTACATTCCCACCAACGGTGAATAAGGGTTCCAGTTTCTCCACAACCGCGCCAGCATTTGTTGCTTGCTGTTCTGTTAAATTTTGCTATTCTGACTGGGGTGAGATGATATCTCATAGTTGTTTTAAGTCTTCACTTTCTAAAAGTAAGCTTGTAGCTAAAAGTAAGCTTGTAGCATCTGTATACAGGGTGTTAGTAAGTCTTATTCCAATCCCCATTCATCTCAATTCTTCTTCACACAATCCAGCACGTCAACATAGAGACTGAATAAGGATGGTGAAAGAATACGTTCCTGACACACACACGTTTCTTGATTTTAAACCATGATGCACCATCCCCGTATCATACTGAAATAACTGCTTCCAGGTCACACAGAAGCACAATTAAGTATTCTGCAATTCCCATTCCTTTCTTTGTTATTTATGATTTGAATGAAGGTTTACGAAGCATGTTAATTTTTCATTCAACTCTTCATATACAGGCTGTTGTGTAACATTAATTTCAATATCCACAATGTAATCACACTTTCGCCACTTCTTCCCTGGAATTCCGGTTTCCATTAATCTTTCTCTACCTCTCTGAGCCGTTTCTTTCTTAAGTAATATTGTACTGGACATTCCCTTATTGTATATCATCTTACCCTTCATTGCCCTTAAATATGCCTATTATCTACTTAGGGAGATCTGGTAGCTTGGTGGTAAGGAGTTACATTGCCAACCCAAAGGCAGATGGCTCAAATCCACCAAGTTCTCTGCGGAAGGAAGAGAAACAATCTCCCATGTGATTTGTAGCCTCTGGGATCTCACTGCAAAGTCAGCTATGAGTTGGTTCTGATTCAAAGGCACACAACAACAACAACAACCACAACATTACCTATTTATGTAATCTTCACTCCCTACTCTCTCCCTTACGGTCCCTGATAAACAGCTAAGAATGATTTTGTGTGTAACCCTTTCTGTGCTTTATAATAACAGTGGTCTTATTAAGAAGTGTCCTTTTGTGACTGTCTTATTCACTTAACATACTATCGTTCAGTTACCTCCTTGCTGTGCATTGTTTCACGGATTTCTTACTGATTTTCAGCGTTGCCATTCTTTGAGCACTCCGCCACTCTTTGCAATGTAAGAGTCCTATTCACTGCCCTTATGAACCAGGCTCACCTAGCAAGTCCATAGTCAGGAGCCGATTAGGTTCAAAATGCTGGGTCTCCCTGTGTCAAAGGCTATGACATCACATGAGCCTTTCTCCCCTTTTCTCTCTCCCTGGGGGGCAGGAAGAACCACTTAAGACCCTGCGTGAAAAATGACCAAGGACCAGCCACATCTCTCCCTATCCTCAATTCCTTCCCGGATGCATTAAACCAGCATTGACAACAACAAATTCACTGTCATCGAGTCAGATGGACTCATACTGACCCTCCAGCATTGTTTCACCAGCTGTAAATCAGGGGGAGATTGCCCGTCCCTCTCTCTGAAAGCAGCTGGTGGATCTGAACCACCAACCTTCACAACTCCTTAATCACTGGGCCATGACACTGAGGACCACCCTTCCACCAGCCAACAGGAAACCAGACCAGAAGGAAGCCCCTCATGACCATTCTGATGTTCATTCCCCTTTCTCACAGGAATAGTGAGGTCAAGGGTTTGTGGGTTTTTTTTTTTTTACCTTGCGTTGTCTCGGCCATGCGACTTCAGGAAATTCATAGTTCGGTATCGGGAGAGAAAAGCCACCAACTGGTCGTTTGTCCTGTGAGAACAAATGAAGAACAACATCAGGACCCTGCACAGAGCCTAGGGGAGGGCGAATGTTGGGGTTCTCTGTGCTGTCGCGGACTCAGGCCTATTCTTCCTTCACAAACAGGAAGGCCTGAGACTTTGTGAGGTTCTCTCCTGGACAAACGCCCCTTCTCTCCCCAGTCAGGTAAAGCATCCTCTTTAACCGTCACTGGGCCCACCACACTGTAGTAACATGATTGTTTGGGTTTCTATCTCCTGTACTCTCCTAAGACAAGCGCAGTATCTTCTTTCTTCTCATATACTCAGTGCTCAGCACCAGGCGTGGCAAACACTAAGCCATCAGTAAAGTGTGTAGAGAACAACAGAAACACGCAGCAAGCTCAGGCCTTTGCCCATGCTGTGCCTCGGACGTAAAGTGTGACGTATGTCCAATGGGACACAGTGACTGTAGAGCAATGGGGTTAGGGTTGTCAGATGGTGAGGTTGGCTCAAGACAGGGCAAGGTTAGAGCCCCGGTGTTCATAGGGTCATTATGAGTTGTGGTCATTCTGACGTCACAAAACAACAACAACAAACAACATATCCAATGCTGGCCAGCTCTGGTCATCAGTCTGCCTCAAAATTGTCACCTTTTCGAATATATGATTAGGTGTTCAGTGACTGTGGTCATGAGGGTAGGTGTGTCAGAGACAGTGAGACTGGCACAGGACAGAGCAGGGTTTAGGGCTGTTGTACACAGGGTCATTATGAGTTGCAGGCAGCTCGATGGCACATAACAACAACAACAACAACGACGACATTATTGGTATGACAAGAGTCCAGAATAAGAGCTGCATAGTAAAGTGGTCTGAAGGGGGGAGGGGAACTGTATAACAATGAAAGAACTTTTTTTTCCAAAGAAAGAAGCGAATTAGGGGAGGAGGACAGGGAGGAAAATGTGCAACAACAAATGAACGGAAATCCAAGGTCTTTATAAACTTAGAATAAAATCTCAATTAAAAAATCTTTCACCTTTTTAGAAGCCTTTTCTATCCATTTAACCTAAGGCAGCTCCCTTCCTCTCTATCCCATCACCGTCGTCTTCATTATAGTCTCGTTATCCAAGACCACTGAGCTTGCCTATGTCAAACTGCAGGCTTGGCGAAGACAGGGACCCGTGCATTGTTGGCCTCCTGTAGAAATGATAGATTGCTGCTGTTAGGTCCCAGCGAGTCACCTACAACTCATAGCGACCCTATGAACAACGTACTGAAAACTCGTCCTAACCTGTGCTGTCGTCATGGTTCCAGTGCGGTCACTGTACCAGCCCACCATACTGAGGGGCCTCCTCTCTTTCACTGACCCTCCACTTTCCTCAACACCGTGTCTGCCTCTCTCGAGCTGACCTTCCCACATTCCCAGCATGGTGTCTTCTTCCAAGGACCAGCCCCTCCCGAGAACATGCCCAAAGGACAGGGAGAGGCAACACACACATCACCACAGTACAGCAAACTGGCAGATGCGCAGTGGGAGTGTACGCGCATATGGGTTAAATGCCAGGGATGCAACGGGCGAGATAAGCTGTGTGAGTTTGAGTGGTCTGCTTCAAATCCATCCTGAGAGACGAATGAATCTATTAATGAATGAATACTGAGCACCAGGTAACCACTGGGCTACCGACGAGAAAGCCTTAAAGAAGATGAAGTGTGGATCCAAACGGATGACACGGCTCCCAACATTGTTATCCCAAATTTATCGCCATCAATCTTGGCGCTCGCGGTGTAGTCACAGCTAATCAGCCTGAGCATACAGCTGTGACAGTGTTTTAAAAGGCAGTCACTCGGGTCTCCATCTGCCAGCAATGCAATTGCGTCTTCCACGGAATAAACCCAAACAGGTAAACAGGGTGGACGTGACAGCTCCCTTATCACCACACTTCTCCGCTCCGGGCCTTCCCTGTAGTGGGAAAGAGTTAACCATTGTTCAAAGCAAGAGAGACAGGAGAGGGAGCAGGAGAGATGCCCCCATCTATTGGAAATACAGGCGTCTAGACTCTCGGGAGGAGGGCAGCTAGTACCTGGTAAAGGGATGCCTGGCTCCCTGGGAGGAGGGCACAGAACCCAGCTTCTCTTCAAACCCCCCTTGTATCCTAGAAACCCTGATGAAACCTCTGTGGTTGGGTCCATTCTGACTTCTGATGAGCTCACATGTGTCAGAGATGAGCTGGGATCCTGAGGGATTTCAAGGTTGGGAGTTTTCAGAAGCCGACTGCCAGCTCTCTCTTCCGAGGCACTTGTGGGTGAGCTTGAACTGCTCATCTCTCAGTGAACAGGCAGGCATGCACTTAACAACCTGTGCCACCCGAGGAGGAGGGAGTCTGAGCTGTGCCCAAGGATAAGCCACCGAACCTCTCCAGATGGTGGCCGTCTCTGAATTCACATGGCAGTGATAACAGAAAACAGCCATCAACGGGTAGAGATCACGAAAACTACTAAAAGTAGTTCTTTTCCGGTTTCCGGCGGGTAGATTCTGAGGCACAGTGGTGCAAGGGTTACGTTATCATTGCCAATCAAAAGGTCAATGGTTCGAACCTACCTAATGGCATGGAGAGGAAAAAGACTAGTGATTTGCTCCAATAAAGATTATAGCCTAGCAAACACTACAAGGAAATTATATTCTGTCTCATGGGGTCACTATTAGCCCCCAATAGCAATGACAACAGCACATGGAAGCCTTCTGCATGTGGAGATAT